CTTGGGGGTTTTGGCTCCTGGGGGGGGACAAGTGGGGGGGGGGGCATTCTGGCTGGTGGAGGGGGATGCTCTAGCTGACATTCCGCCCAGCTCCTGCCAACCAGTGACATCATTGGTTGTCAGGAGCTGGACGGGAAGCCGGCCAGAGTGTCCTAGGTTGCTAAGAGCTGGGCAGCAAGATGTGTATTGCCCTTGGACATCTCCCCACCCGGGTCTTAGCAACCTGGGATACTCTGGCTGGAAAAGTGGCACCAGACACTGCAATGATTGCCGGGGAACTTGGATTTGCCATGCCAATATAAATATATCCCTATAGCAAGTTAGAATAAACAAACATAGAATATACAATAAAACAACTCCCAATAGCTGTCCATAAACCCCTGTATAAAGTATTCTAATAAACAGAAAAGGAATCAATGGCCTCAGACCCTATCTCAAACGTATATATAGTAGGAAATGTGTATGAGATAACACGTAAGGTTGTTGTGCCCTTTTCTGTTTGTTATTACAGTTTTGATTTTCCATCTACCATTTGGAGGACCTTAATCTCCACTAGTACAAATCATTCCCCTGGATTTAAAGACTACATTTTATAAGACGGCTCCCATTTTGTCTTTTTTGGACTTCTGATATTGTGCGTTGATACATCTTTTCCCTAATATTATAAAGTACTACAACCTAATAGCCTTCATTTGTACAACGTGATACTCTACTAAACGGTTAACCTATAATAAAGATAAATGGAGGTGGTGGAACCCAGGCAAAGAAATGGAAATTGCATTGAATAAAAAGATGAGAAGGTGAGATGATGAGGAACAATGAGAAGCTCAACATGTATTGTGGCTGGCGTACGCTTCTTCAAATCATTCATTGTAGCCAAATGTAGCCTTTATTCTAGAACATTACAGTCGGTTGCTTTGAGCAACAAAGACCCTTTAGAATTTTTTGATAAACCCAACTGAGCTGATACTATTATTGCCCAGGTACAGCCAAATACATAGAGCCATGTATCCAACTTGTGTTGAGATGTTTCTAGTTTGTGAGGTTTCAACAATGCAAACTGGATAGCAATGCCTCTTGTGAGCTTTCCGAAGCGACGCATACAGAACAATCATTAGTCCAACCAAAAGTGATATTTTGCATATAGATGGAGCTTGATGGGCTGAGTCCCTGGAGTATCATGAGCCCCTGGCTTCAGATACTCCAACAATGAGTCTGTCTCCCTGCCTTCATTCCCAGCTATATTCCTGTCCTGGGAGTTTTGGGTGTTCCCTCCAAGCTTTTTGTGTTCTCAACTCCTCCTGTTACATTCTCCATAATATAAAATAAATACAAAACCTGCAGGGATGGTGGGAGATCTTTTAAAATGGGCACATCAGGTCTGCAGACCTGGGAACTCAAAGATCTCATCAAGATAGTACATAAGAGTACCTAGAGGGAGTTAGGGGTTACACGGAGGGTTAGGGTTACAGGGAGGTTTAGTGTTAGGGTTACAGGAAGAGTCAGTGCGAGAATTAGTGTAAGAGTGATGGTTAGTGTTAGAGTTGCAGAGAGTGGACTACAGGGAGGGTTAGTGTTAGATTGTAGGGAGGGTTACTGTTAGGATTACAGGTAGGGCTAGTGTTTGGGTTAAAGTAAAGCTTAGTGTTAGAATTACAGTGGGGTTAGTATTAGGATTACAGGGAGGGTTAGGGTTGGGACTGCAGGGAGGATTAGAGTAAGGATTACATGAAGGGAGTGTGTTAAAATGAGGTAGGGTTACTTTTAGGATTACAGGGAGGGTTAGTGTAGGGATTACTGGGATATCGTTTTAGTGTTAGGATTACAAATTAGGTTACAGGTAGGGTTAGTTTTTGGACTACAGGGAGGAAATGAGGTTACAGGGAAGGTTACTTTTAGGATTATAGGGAGGATTAGGTTTAGGACTGCAAGGGGGATTAGTGTAAGGATTACAAGGAGGGTTAGGGTAGGGATTACAGGGATGTTTAGGTTGCAGGTAGGGTTAGTTTTAGGATTTTAGGTAGGGTTAGTATTACAGGGAGGGTTAATGTTAGGTTACAGGGAAGGTTAGGTGGTTAGGTTACAAACAGGGTTAGTGTTAGGATTACAGGGAGGGTTATGTTAGGATTATAAAGAGTGTGAGGATTACAGGGAGTGTTCGATTACAGAGAGGGTTTCTGTTGGGATTGCAGAGAGGGTTAAGGTTAGGATTACAGGGAAAGTTAGTGTTAGGGTTACAGGGAGGGTGAGTGTTAGGATTACAAGGACCGTTAGGTTACAAGGAGGGTTAGTGTTAGGTTACAAGAAGGTTTAGTGTCAAGGGGGGGCCTTATGTAAGTGTTTCTCTCAGTGCCAGAAGCTTGAAAAACAACCAGAACCAACCTCCCAGTGTTAAACGCAAGCGTATTGTAGAGAGCTGGCTCTAACTCAACGGCCATCAGGCTGCTCACATGGCAACTAAAAAAAATGCCAAAATCAGGAAGCCAGCAAAGGACCAGGGCAGCACCCCAGCAGTCTCTGCCTTGGATATCGCTGCAGGTAAGCACTACATTTACATAGCAGATCCCTGTGTAAGTGCTCAGTCCAGACAAACATTTCCATGCAGACATATCAAAGCATTATAAACCCATTCCATAATGCATGACACTCGCATATGCCTCGGGTCAAGAACTAATTACAGACTCTCCATAAAAAAAATAATTTAATCAGGTTATATAATGAAATAATTTTAGAACCTTCATCTGAAAATGAATTTGTGCAAGCTAAACGTAATATGAGAGGATTCATCCTGCTGTAGTTATGGAATAAATTGGACAATGTGTAGCGCTCAGGTAAGTATTGATAAGAGTAGACTTTATGGCAATATTAATATAACATTAAAGCTGAACTCCAGGCTAATATTTAAAAAAACGCCATTTTTTCTGGTATTGCAATTATTAGAAGCCATTAGCTGTATTTGTATATAGAACTAGAAACAGAACTTGAATTTTCCTTTATATCCACATTGATAGGGGAGGGAGGGGCAATGTTAGGAGCCAAGCAGAACTACACTGCCTGCCTCAAAAAATTCACACACTTTAATATTTCATCGGACGGCCTTTAGCTTTCGATGTGGCAATGTTTTGACAAGCTTATACAATGTCACAACATTTATTTCCATCCATAGTTGCATTCATTTGTCACCAAGATCTTGTAGTGATGATGGGAGAGTCAGAACCCTGTGTGAAGTCTTCTCCAGCACATCCCAAAGATTCTCAATGGGGTTAAGTTCTGGACTCTGTGGTGGCCAATCCATGTGTGACAATGATGTCTCATGCTCCTTGAACCACTATTTCACAATCTGAGCCCGATGTATCCTGGCATTGTCATCTTGGAACATGGCCAATGTGCCATCAGGGAAGTAATAAATTCATTTATGGGAAAGATTTGGTCATTCAGTATATTCGGGTAGGCAGCTGGCCTCATATTTTGGGCACAGAACGTTGCTGAGCCTAGACCTGGCCAACGAAAGCAACCCCTATAGCTCTTATCTATCTGCCTTATCTAAATCCAGGTGGTGGATCTAATTTAAATTTACAAAATGTCAAATAAAATGACCCCCGAACTATGCTACTTTCCCCTTTCAGTGATGCTTCATAATACACAAACATAGAATACACAGTTACCTTTATGGAGTTATGTCTATCCTTTCTCCCAAGGATCTTTACTTCCGCCATGTCGTCGGAGTGAGGAGAGCGCCCGTGGATGAACAAAGCCCGGATGTTTTCCGTAACGTTCCTCAGCGCAATTAGCGATCCATCGGCTTCCACTTTAAAGTTGGGATTAGATACTTCGTATATCACCTCCTCGTTACCTTGACAATCGTCAAACTGCACTGTGATCAAAACATAAAACACGGTCGAATTAATTAACGGAGCCCCAACAAGTAACAAAATTAGCTCCATTCAACTCTAATTGTCAAATCAGCTCTGACGGAGAAATTATTTTTATTTTTTTAAAAAGGCTAAGTTCTGCTAAATGCATAGAAGTGAGAAACACAAATGGCAGCCAATAGCGTGTGACCTGTGGGGGGGGGGGGGGGGGGGGGGGGGTAGTCAGGTTACATGCACCTTGTTCAGTCTGTGTCGTCTTCTTTTCGAGTTCTCTTCAGCAAGATGTATTATTTTGTTGTATGGAAAAGGCCACTAAAACTGACTGTTCTCACCGGTATAATACCCATTCCCTCCAAGCATTGTAGTGACATTTTTTCTTTCAAATACAATTGTTACTTAAAGTTGTGTATTCAGTCTGTCACAGCCCCTTTTCGAAGGGATCCAGACATTAATATAAGTAAAAACTCACTTTATATCTACATAAGATTATACTTTAACATTAAACTAAATAAAACGCATAAACATCACTGCCAGACTTCAATTTTCTAATATTTGTACATACATTTGAATAAACATTTATTATAAAAAACTTAACAGGTGATATCTGGTCATTATCCCCTAGTTATCCACGCATGACGCCAACAGTGCCCATTCAGAGCTTTGGCAGAGCAATTATAAACCCCTCTCTTCCCCTGTTGTCTACTTACAAAAGTCAATGGTGACCATCAAATACTGGTCTCAAGTAAATGCCTAGCCACAAAAATCCTCCGACTTTTCCCTCTTCTACAGCGGAAAAGAGAAAGCCTGGTGTCATAGCTGATCTCCAAACAGAGGCTATGATAGCACCTCCCTTGGCTGTAAGAGAGGTTGTGGTTCCGCTTAAATATATTCGAATGGGCCTAATGGATTTCCCAACTGTGACCCCATTAGACAGGTTTCCTCTTACTTCCTTTCCAGGTGATATGTGTCAGCTATAACAGGAAATCCGGTGTACCCTTCGCACTCCTGACCGAATAATACCCTTAGAGTCGGGTGGGTGCCAAAGTGACTGCAGATGCCTCTGCGATCCAAGATGAGTGTATGTATAAAGTCACTCGCACTCAAATAGAATTTCAAGTCAAAAACGGTTTATTGACTCGATTGCTATCACATCATCTATCACATCATATGGCTCGTATATGATGTGATAGCAATCGAGTCAATAAACCGTTTTTGATTTGAAATTCTATTGGAGTGCAAGTGACTTTATACATACAGATATAACATGAAGAGACAAGAAATTATCCCTATGGATAAGAGACAGTATCACCTTGCTCTTTACAAAGGGCCCCCTCCGACTCCCTATATTCATCTTGTTGGTGTGCCCTTGCCACTCCATTCTCCATTGCTGTGTCAGTGACCCATGGGAGCAGTGAAATCACTGCCTTGATCATGTGACTGTCACAGGTTCTCCTATACCCAGAAGCTTTGGATAACTCTGACAGCTTTGATGGAGGAAGGAGCAGCAATCAAGGGCAGACTGGATGAGTATAAGCAGGTCGAGGGAAGGCTTGCATGGGCAAGGGGGATCTCTTTAAAACCTGAGAAATGTTATAACCTTTCCCCATTCAATCTAAGTAAAACTTGGCTGTGGTTCGGCTATAACCAGATTCAGTTTATTTCCTCACGCGCACAACCTGAATTTATTCGGCTTCTGTGCTTTCTGCCATAACCCCTTATGGTTCTTATTTCTTGGCATCCCTTGGGTGCAGGAACATTTATGGCACATATTTTCTAAGAACATATTCCATGTCTGCTATACCCTACCACTGGTATTTGGCAGCTACCATCAGACATATATATGCTCACGTCTGAGGCCTTCAGCTCCTCGTGAAGAAGGTGACTGTGCTAATTAAACCCACCAATATCTAATATTCAAACCATTAGCCGTATAACGATGAGCCAATTAGTGAGTCAGCCAGTGCAAAAAAAAAACAATACACTGCCTGCCAGAACAGTTCCCTTCTTCTAGAGAAAAAAAAACTTCATCCAACGAAAAGAACTACATGAAGTGCCAAGAATTGCGGTTGTTATTTCTCAAAGACATTCTGCAAGTGACACAATGAGATGTAAAAGATCATGTAAAAGAGAGACATAGACTGTATCCAGAAGGTAGTAATGTCATCTCATAGGAGGTGAGTCACTGCTAACAAGAGCCATGCGGAACTCTAAAGGTAACAGAGCGCCAAAGCGTCACATTTGATAGTGCACACAAGGACGGGCATTGTAATGCGTGTTGGCCCGTGTGGCTCACATTTGTTGTGCATGCAATTTAGCCGTGTGGTTATTTTTGAAATGCCCCCATGCAGATAAATGCAGCTGAAAACATACTTCACCCTGAATGCACAGCAACAATACTAGGCTGTAGCCACTGGTACGGTGCCTGGTACACCATCTACATGTGAGTGTTCTTAAATAGTGATCCCCCCTCCCTGCCCAATTAATTGCATTCCCCGACTGGTAAACTGCAATATATTATGTCATTTTTAAAAAATCATCCTGCTTCAGATAGTTACTGTAAAAGTGTGACAACGCTCTGTCTATGTCTACACAGTTGTGTTCCTATGTGGTCATCCTGTCACATGGACTTCAAATGGAGGCTAAAAGTCGCTATTTTAACACATTACGTGGGCATGGTCCACTGTTTCCACTATAAGGAAAACTGTCGTGCTGTCTTGTGTACCCTGCAATGTTCTTGCAAGCAGTTTTATTATTCCTGCCCAGTTCACCCCCCACACTATGTTTTAGAGATGAGGAGAGGGAGGTTGCCTGTAATCCTAATATATTTAGGGGATGATTTATAAATTATCCGCCAGATGTATGCTGGCCACATGCCAATTACAAGCCATTCTTGCCAAAAAAAGGAGCTGAGATCATAGGTCATTTCTATGTTCATCGTCTCCCTCTAAACAAAAACAAAAACAGGCAGGAGAGGCTCAAATCTTTATCCAACTGCCAAGACTAAGAGACTCTCTTCCTCCGTGTCTGGCTCCCTGTCACAGGAAAGCAATGTACATCCTTCACCCAAACACCAGTCAAGAAGCTGGAAAAGACAACGAACCAATAGGAAAGCTAGACACTTCTATGTTCCTTGTCTCCATCTACACTTTAGATGGCCCAGGTGAAGGAGCCAATGGGTGCTCAATTACCACAGTTCTGTTGCCAAAACAAAAACAAGAGGCAGGAGAGGCCCAAATATTTACCCAAGGCTTCACCTGATATGACTAAGGGACCCTCTTCCTCTGTGTCTGGCTCCCTGTCACAAGAAAGCAATGTACATCCTTCACCCAAACACCAGTCAATAAGCTAGAAAAGACAACAATGAACCAAGAGGAAAGCTAGAATACAGCCGACTGGATCTACTTCCTCTTCCATACCAAACAAGCTGATAGGTCCTTCTCCCATTATACCTGTTCAGGTGGAACGGATCTACACGAAGACTCTCCTTCATTCAGGTCCTAGGGTGGCCACGCTGCTTCTCCATAGGCACAGTACACTTAGTGAGTGTTGCCACCCTAAGGGCAGGTTCACACCATTTTCCGTACCAGATCTGGAATGCAGTGCATTGCGTTTTTGCTGTGTTCAGGGTTTTTTTTTTAGTTTAATAGTCTTACAGGTGCGTTCCAGCGTGGGTTCACACCATTTTCCAGCCCAGATCTAGAACGCAGTGCATCGCGTTTTTGCAGCGATTCTCCGTTCCAGAGCTGTTTCTTTTTTTTTTTTTTTTTTTTTTTATTTGGGTCCGGAAACAATCTAGTTTTGTCTGGAGATGATCAGGATGTGGTGTGAATGGGCCCTTAGACAGGAAGAAAGTTGGGGCAGCATCATCAAGCAAAAATAAAGAAAAAAAAAGCCAGCAAAAAAAACAAAAACCTAAAGCAGTCACCACATGTAAAGACTGGTAAGCTGCAATACGTTATATTTTTATTCTTGGGTTTCGATATGCTTTAAATTATAGTGCAATTCAGAAATGATAATAAAAGGTTAAATAAAATAAATAAAGACAAGTCCTATTAAGGAGTAAAATACTGTTCACAGCAATTTGCAGAAGAATGATATTCTAGCTGCTACAATTAGCCTGTCAAGTTTACATTGCATTATATATACAGTGGGAGTGCTAACAGTAATGATCAGAAGTTATTTAGATGTACTCAGATTTCCTCTGCTCTCTGTGATGGCTGTTTTATGGGAATGCCTTATTACATGTACAAATGCACAGTCCACGGAGTGATGTTGCAGGTAATTGCAGTGACAGTTATGTGCTGTAGGAATCATTGCCGGGCTCTGTGTCATCACGATAATAATGTTTTATGACATCAAATATTTTTTCTTCTTTTTTTACTAATGTTTCTCCAGCCGTATAAAAAGCTTTGAGTACATTTAAAATGGTTTAACATTGTCATTAAGGCAGTTCATTCCAACTTGGGTTTCTAACATCTCTGTGACACTTTTGCTATTGAAGAACAAGGTAAAATGATACACTTTAACATACTATTTCATTAACGTGGAAGTCAAGGCAATTTTTTTTGTTACATCTGTAGCAAACCTTACATTAATATTTAAAGGATTGTAAGTGTGGTTTCTTTATTTACATTGACTTTTAACCCTTTAGTGAATGAGTAGGGGTACAAATACCGCTTACTCATTCACCATTGACGACCAATGGAAGGGAACACTTCACCATTGATGACCAATGTAAAACTTCACCATTGACCACAAATGTTAGAGGACACTTCACCACTGATGACCAATGTAAAGCGACACTTCACCATTGAACACAAATGTTAGAGGACACTTCACCACTGATTACCAATGTAAGGGGACACTTCACCACTGATGACCAATGTAAGGGGACACTTCACCATTGACAACCAATGTAATGGGACTCTTCACCACTGATGACCAATGTAATGGGACACTTCACCACTGATGACCAATGTAAAGGGACACTTCACCATTGAAC